CAGCGAAAGCTTTGTGGCCCTCGTCAGTGCCTCGGACCGTGACTCTGGCGCCAACGGGCAGGTGCGCTGCAGCCTCCGTGGCCATGACCACTTTGCCCTGCAGCGTGCCTATGAGGACAGCTACATGATTGTCACCACGGCAGCACTGGACCGAGAGCGCATCCCCGAGTACAACCTCACCGTGGTGGCCGAGGACCTGGGCTCGCCGCCATTCAAGACCGTCCGCCAGTACACAGTGCGGGGGAGAGCGACGAGAATGACAATGCGCCACTCTTCGCCAAGCCCCTTTACGAGGTGGCCGTGCCAGAGAACAACCCCCCGGGTGCCTACATCACCACTGTGGTGGCCCGTGACCCTGATCTTGGCCATAATGGTAAGGTCACCTACCGGCTCCTAGAGACACAGGTCATGGGGGCCCCCATCTCAACCTACGTCTCAGTGGACCCTGCCACTGGGGCCATCTATGCTCTCAGGACGTTCAACTATGAGATCCTCAAGCAGCTGGACCTGAGGATCCAGGCCACTGATCTGATGGAGGGTCTCCACAGCTCTCCAGCAGCACCCTTGTCAAAGTGAGGATGGTAGACCAGAATGACAACCCTCCTGTCATCGTTCACCCAGTGCTCACCAATGGGACAGTGGAAATTGGTGTGTCCAGCAAGACTTCCCGTGACTCCCTGGTGGCCCAGATCAAAGCTCGAGATGCAGATGACGGGGCCAATGCTGAGCTCACCTTTGCCTTCCTGGAAGAGCCCCAGCAGGACCTTTTCACCATCAACCCAAGTACTGGGGACATTGTACTGAGGGGCGACCTCTCTGAAGATCTGGGACAGCTGTTCAAGGTCATTCTCACTGTGACAGACAACGGCAGACCCCCTCTGGCCACAACTGCCACAGTCAACTTCCTGGTGACCGCCACAGCTCCCTCCAGTATCCAGGAGATAGCCAAGCCCAGCTCCTGGGAAGGAAAGGCTTTGCAGTGGGACATCCCTCTGATCGTGATCATTGTCCTGGCAGGCAGCTGCACCCTCCTCCTCGTGGCTATAATCACCATCGCCACCACCTGCAACAGGCGCAAGAAGGGCAACGAGATCAAAACCAGCGCTTCCTTGAAGGACCAGATAGACATCTCCCATCTGGAGAAGGGGCGGCAGGAGGAGGGCAGCCAGCGGGGAAATGTGTTTGAGATACGAACCTTTCCCAGCAAAACCTCCTTCACCAGCCCCGACCCTTCTGCTGCCGAAGAGATCTCCACCGCTGAGAGCGGCAGCGACAGCGCTTGCCTCTACGAGGGTCAGAAGAGGCTGAGAGGACCAAGTGGGGAGGTAAGGTCGTGCCGTGGGGAAGGAGGTCAGCAAGTGGGAGGGGGTCTTGGAGGACGTAAATTGCAGAGACGTGTTTCTGATGTTGATTTACCCTTTCCTATTTCCCTCCCTCACCTCTCCTTTGACTTTCTCTCCCCCCCACCTCAGCAGGGTTTCACTGCCGCTCCAAGCTTTGGCAAGGAGCCCGCTCCCCCCGTGGCCATTTGGAAGGGACACTCGTTCAACACCATCTCTGGCCGAGAGGCAGAGAAGTTCAGCGGCAAAGACAGCGGCAAAGGCGACAGTGATTTTAACGACAGCGACTCGGATATCAGCGGGGATGCCCTGAAAAAAGATCTCATCACGCACATGCAGAACGGTAAGGGCGGCGCAGCCCCTCCTCCTGGCTGGTCCCTCAGGATGGATGGCTGGGGAGGGGGACATGGACAGAGGGACCCATCCCCACTGCACAGTGATTAGGGAGGGCAGCTGGAGGGGGAAACCTGGTGCTGTGTGGCTCAACTACCCATCTCTTCTCAGCAGGCTGTTAGATGCTGATTCCTGTCTGCACCAAGCAACATGCAACAAATTAGCACATGCTGAAAGTACTTTAAGATTGGAGGTTGTCCCTCCCCAAAAAGCTTCCCTTAAATTTAGGATTGTGAGGAATGTCCCTAACAAGATGACGTAACCATCCCAAGTGTGTTTTTTTGTTGTGCTATAGAGCATCACCTCCCAACTCCCACCATCGGTGCATAGAATCATCCTGTGACTGATAACTTGGAGGATTAGAAGGATGTGGATTTATTCCTGCAGTAATGACAGGTTTCTCCTTCTCCCTCTTTAGGTCTGTGGGCATGTACAGCTGAGTGCAAGATCCTGGGCCACTCGGACCGCTGCTGGAGCCCCTCCTGTGGCCGAGCCAACCCGCATCCCCCTCCCCATCCTTCGGCACCCCTCTCCACCTTCTGCAAGAGCACGTCCTTGCCCAGGGATCCACTTCGCAGGGACAACTTTTACCAAGCCCAGCTGCCCAAAACAGTTGGGCTTCAGAGTGTCTATGAGAAAGTGCTGCACAGGGACTTTGACCGGACGATCACACTCCTCTCCCCGCCGCGTCCCGCACGGCTCCCCGACCTTCAGGAGATTGGGGTGCCCCTCTACCCAGCCCCCTCGACTAGATATCTGGGCCCCCAGACTGACACGACCGAGAAAGCGTAGCCCAAGATGCTCCCTGCCCCAGTTACACACGTCCCTGCGCGCACACGACTAGGTCACTCCCGAGAGCCTTTAAGTTATTGATCAGATCCGGTGTCGTATGTGTAAATATGCAAGATGTGCCTTAAAAATGAAGTTGTTGGGAAAGTTTTCCAATCAGGTCAGTACTGTTTGATATTTGCAAACAACAAAAAAAAATTGTTTGTAGTTAATGTAATTTTTATGAAATGTGCAGTATTTAAATTCTTTTTTCATGTTTTCTACATGGTTTTTGGTTGTTTTTTTTTTGCTTTTGTTTCACTCATGGCCTGCCATTTTTTGTAGTGTTTTTAACCTGTACATTGTGTAATGTAATGTTTGTACATAATGAAAATTGGTTATATTTTTATATAATAAAATCTCAAAAAATGGGAATTCTTGCCAAAGGAACTGTCTTAAAGACACAATAATAATAATAATTAATAATTATATCCCGAATATGTAGAACTTTGTAAAGGAAATTCCTCTTTCATGGTGTAATAATAACCCAAGCAACCCAGTGTACTGAGAAGTTTGCCTTGCCAAATGTGACTTGTATTTCTTGAGTCGGTGGTCAACTTAAATGTTATTTAATTGCCTTTGGTTCCTGTAATCTGTGTCACTGATAAACACTAATAAAAGTTTTGTGATGTGTCAGAGCGATCTGTTCATGGATTTTTGTGCTTGGCAGCATACAGGTCTTTACGGGTCAGCAAAAAGTATTTTGCCCAGAGAAATGCAGTGGGGAGGAGCATCAACGATGCAGCTTCTGGTCTTGCTCATCCTTTACCTCCAGCAACACCTCGCTCGAGGTTTAGCTCTAAGGATTTTAATGATGGGTTGCAGGGGGGGGTGATGTGATGGAGCTGGCCTTTGCTTTTCACTACTCGATCTGAACTCTTCCAGCTCAAGCTTTCGCTGGTAGGAAGATGATTAATTTTAGCAACACAAATGAAGCTACATCCATCAACTGAAAGTGTTCGTGCCAGGCAAGTGTCTTTGCATCAGCAGCCACTCGAGCACTTTGCTTTCTGATCTGGCTGAGACGCTGATTTGAGCACAGGTATGTGCTTATACGTTTATCCCTTGTTAAGGCAGCCTTACTAAAAGACAGTAACTTGCATTCATGTACATATATTTATGCATCAAGAGAAAGGAGAAGCTTATGTTTGTGCATCAAACAGAAAGAATAGATGTTGATTATGTTGAGATTGTCTGTGATGCATATTTTGTCTTCTCCCAGAAGTGACAGTCCTGAAAAAAAAACTCATACAGAGCTCTGAAATTCCCTCCATCCAATGTTTCGAGCTAAAAGCAGATCTCAAATCCTTCTGCTGAAATCAGATGTAGATAACACTTCTATTGGAGTTTTAATATTAAATTTTTCCAAAAGGAAGAACTGCTCCTCACTTGGAGTACATAATCACATTTTGTACAAATCAATAATCTAGAAATTTGTACATGGCAAATCTTTTGGTTTTTATCATGAACACTTCTACTGGAGTTTTAATATTAAATTTTTTCCAAAAGGAAGAACTGCTCCTCGCTTGGAGTACATAATCACATTTTGTACAAATCAATAATCTAGAAATTTGTACATGGCAAATCTTTTGGTTTTTATCATGAGTTCTTCCATTTTATTTCTAATTAGTATGGTATAGGTAGATAGATAGATAGATAAATAGATAGATAGATAGATAGATAGACAGATGACTCAGGAATAAAATATCCTTATAAGACATAAGCAAGGCCTTGTTGGACTTTGTGTCTCAAAATGTAAGTAGAAAAGAGTATCCCACCTGCACGTCCCTTAACCAACAGAAATTCCCTTTCTTCCCCGGCTTCGATCTTTCTCAAGCTCACGTAGCAAGAGTGGCAGAGTCTGACCGAGTTTTTATGCATGCACAGTCTGAGCTCCAACAGGGGCTTCATAAAAGCCACTGCATGAAGAATCGTGGTGGGCAGAGAGCTTCAGAGGCTGTACTTGAAGGGAATTGCAATCAGGCTGATGCAAGTCTCAACTGGGAAGCGACATCTGATACAGCTTTTATAGTCAGGAAAATAGGTGAGCATTTCTGGCAATTCATCTAAATCTGGTAGTAAAAATTATGATGCATCTAATGAACTAAGAGGGTCATCTTGGTTAAATTTAGAGCTGAAGTTGAGGCTGAAGGGTAGGTGCTGAGAAGGAAGGCTGGGAGCCTCCCTGCCAGCTAATCATCAGTGATGCAGAGCAGCAAGCCTGCATCTTAAGTAATTAGTCATAACTCTGAACGCAGGAAGGGAAATTTTCTCTGTCAAAAAAAGCAGGGCAGTTCATCCTCATGTATCTCAAAAGCCTGGCTTTCAGGCTGTAACACCTCCACAGCAGGACCCTAGGCTCTCCTGGGGGAAGCTGGCAGGAGGAAACCACAGCCCAACGGCAGTTCTTGGCATTCGGCTGAGGTGCCAAATTCATGCTGTTGCCTGCAACAGAGTCAGGGTGTTTCTGTGGACAGGTTGATGCTCCTCTCCGCCTAACCAGGAGTTTGAAGCACCTCAACGTGAGGCACTCTTGAAATGGGGGGAATAGTCACCTGTTCCCATTCCCAAAGCATCTTTCAGCTACAGCCTCACTGGGGTCAGGGATCTGTATGTTCTGGGGTCCTATGTGCTGCCAGTCAAATGTGTGATTTATCCACTCAGCATTTAAGTCTGAGCCTGTCACTTTGCAGGGACTCCCGTCAGTGGAAAGATATGGACCTCTTCTGAGAGCCTTTCATCTTGGCTTGGAGACAAACAATATGGACAGCTCAGGTGCAACACTGAAGCTCCTGATCTTCCCTTTGCCTGTAGAGGGCAAGGGGCAGCAGCCTAGACTCTTTTACAGTATCTTCTTTTAGATGGCTAAAATCAGGTGAAGGAAATCCCTGAGCTCCATCAGGTAAGAGCACATGTAGTCTAAAGTGCAGACAAGTGGAGAGGGGAGCTCCTGTGCAAGGCCACCTGAATTAAGGATAGAATCGTAGAATCACAGAATCATAGAATCATAGAATCATAGAA